CGTTGGCAATCGTTGGGAGCAATAAGTATGAAGCAAGAGCGCGTAAAGCAGGTCTATTCTGCCAGTCAGCAACACTTGAAAAATGGCGCGATATCAAGCGAAAACACCATGGTGGTAGGAAGAATAGAAGGCGACATACCGGCTCAAGTTAGCCAAACGAGACAATCCCAAGTGAAGCCGGAAGTAGAGTCCGCGGTCGGTGACGAACGCCCCCAAGGGTGCCCAGGTCCGTCCAATAGCGTCCCTTGGTTTCGTTCGCTTTTGGTCACCGCTTTTGGTCACCCTCCAAACCGGAAGTCTCCCCAAGTTTCACCTCTGGTTGCGTGACGTCGCCTTCAGAAGCTTCCTACCTCCATAGAAAACTCTAAGCAGCAGAAAACGTTTCGCATAGATCAGTCCCATCATCGCCCCCTTGCGCGCTGCCATCTTTATTCACTGGGTTGTGGAACGCGTTCTGAGCATGCGCAGTAGGTTTCTCCTGCGGAATACTAGACGTCGTGTGTGCATCCATATATCCCAGCGACTCTGCATGTTTCGCCTGGTTGACAAACGCTGCAAAAGTGTGCGTGTCTGCTTGCATGTTACATGCGATTGTCTTTGTGGCAGCATTTTTAACATTACGGTATTCGAACCCGGTAGCCTTGTGTGGCTCACGGCTGTGCAGGCGTCGTGTGATTGACAATACATTTGAACGTTGAAAAGCTCCAGACCATTAATCCTCCGTCGTTCAGTGCTACGTCCCAGGTGCCCTTCGGTGGTTTGTGACCTAAACCCCTGATTCATTTCACGTTTGGGTCGCTTGGCGTTCCTCGTAGCGTCGGCTGCAGTTGAGTTTAAGGTGGAACGGAGTATAGTCCGGACGCAATGGATGTCGCGCCGCCACCCGCCGAGCGTCACATAGGTCTTTCTCGTCCACGATAACCGACGCCAACGACTCGAAAGCGAGATGTCGATGGGGCTTCGGTGCTTGCAGGCTTCGCGCTCGTCGGCGACCGATTTACGCAAGCCATCTCCGCAACACACATCTGCGAAACGTGCCACCCAGCCCTGACCTCTGCTCGGGAGACACCGGTTCTCTTTGGCAGCCCTCGTACACCAGCCGAATGTTCATGACGTCGCGTGTAGGTATACAGCGCTGTCGGAACAACGAAGTTCCCGATTTTTGTTTCTCAGAGCTATGTCCTGGATTGCGAAATAATCGAACGCTATAAAATGAAGGACTCTCAAGGTGCTGCAGCCCCTTCGACTGGTTACTGATTCAAATCTGCCGCTAAATTATTGTCTCTAAAAATTAGCTTCATTGCACTACAGTTATTTCTTGACAGATTGATTGTTTCCATTGTTGGTGACAAAATATACTACATCAGCATTTGAGGCAGTATATGCTGTAAGTAATAGGCATAGACTTTCGTTATTTGCACCGCTAACTCCTTCATTGCTCCGCAACATCTTTTCTTTTTTTTCTTTTTTTTTTTTTTTTGCAGTGAAGAAGAGGCGCGTCTAAACTTTCAATGCAAAAGTGTGAGTTGAGGTAAACATTCCCCACACAATTTCGTATCTTGGAAGCTTCTTGTCGGTTTCTTCCCTGGAATCACGAATATAAATAGGCTCACAAGAAAACAAGAACAACCGAGAACAAAAAAGTGGAAGGGAAGTTAGAAGTGATTGAAAAAAATTTCCTAAGCTAAGAATAAACCGGAACGAAATGCATGTATCCGCACATCGGGGCGCAGCTCCTCGCGGTTGGGGATAAGGACAAACAAAGAGGAATTAAGAGGAGGCGGAAGTGGAGGCCCTAACGAATAAAGGTGGAAAAGCGAATGCACAAGTGGTTCACTCGTCATAAGCATGACAGGCGCTTGGTCTCGTGAATGTAGGTCAGCAGGTAGGGCAGGCTAGTTCTTACTGAACCAGGGTGTTGATGAAGATTAGTAAACATCTTCAAGCCAAAAGTACGGCCTCGGCGAGCCACGAAAGTGGTAAGAAGTCATGCTCTCTGTGGAAGATGTGGGGCATGCCCATAGGATGTGAAAGGTGTCCTCGAGCACCCCGCAGTCTTTGCAGCTCGGCGTGCTCGACAGGTGAAATGAAAGTAATACTCGGCAAATGCTCAAGCTGTAAGAGAGTACGTGAGGAGCGCAGTAACATACACGATCTACTGCACACTGAAACTCATTGATTTAATGTTACTTTATTAATTGCAACCACTCTACGATCGTGCGAGCTAGTGCGAAAAAGTAAAAACAAAATATTGTCTCGAAGAGTCTCTGGTCGTTGTGTAGCCAATGCTGTCGCCCAAGGTTGTTTGGCTAAATTGGTATTCCGCTGGCCGCAGCAAAATCCGCGCCAGCATCTTTTGTGCAAAGCACGCGCTTGATTTTTTTTTTTTTGTGTCTTTGTGCCGTTTTAGGGCTTATGGTGAGGTCATCTTTCATCGTTCGTCCTCGCGCAAAGTAAACTGCACTTAAAATCCGCAGCACTTTAAATTGTAGGCACGATTCGTCGGATATGTAACTGGTTTTCCAGTCTAAATCGGTAAATACTAACACCGTCTGTCTTAATTTCGACCAACGTATACTCTGAAAAATTGAGTGCTCCCGCAAAACAATATCCCACGTCCGTTTTCTGAGAAGACTTAAAAAATGCTTTGATGAGGATCTTGCATACCATGAACGTTTCTGTCGCGTATATCATTCAAAGCATTATGCCGAGGCTGGCTTGGGCATCCTTGTTTGCGTCCTTGGCAGCCTAAGATTGTCGTTCTTCTCTTAATTGAAATATACAATTTTAATAGTCTGTCTCGCTTTCGGCAGAACCAAGACCAGATTTTCCATTAAGGAGATGTAATAGGTTTCTTTTTTTTTTTTTTTTTTGCTAAAACACAGCTAAGAATACTGCTCGTCTCGTCACCGCCCGCAGATCTTATAAGATGCTCCACGAAGGTAACGTGGACTGTATTGAATCATGTATAAGATACACAAAGCAAGCTTCATCGTTCTATCTAGAACAGCCGAATATATTGAATAAAGCTTATAGTCAATAAATCAAATAGACATCAGACAAAAACGTAGCCAAAATAGAAACTTTTTTTTTTTGGGGGGAGAGGGCGGTGGTGGAAGGGGATGGGGGAAGAAGCCTTATAAGTCGGGTTCCGTGTTTGGGATAAATACTGATAACCGCCTAAAATTAACCCCCAAGCCAATTTTATCAAAATAAAAAAACTGAAAGAAACAATTCAGCTGTCTTGAACATGAAGAAAACAACTTTACAAGAAAAAATTGCATCTGCAGTTTTTTTTTTTTTTTTTGATGCTGACCTGAAACACAGCCTCTAACCAACTGTCCGCGAGGCTCTGTTCGAAACCACACCCTTTTTTTTTTGTTTCCTTTTCTTATCGGTTATCAGGTTGTTTTCTAAATACTCAAGTACGCGTGCTCCATATCGGATCTGGTCTATTGATCCTGGCGGGCTCCAAAATGACCAGTAGAATTCGGCATTTAAAGGAGTGTGAGTTATTGCCGTTTACTTGCTGTAACAGCAGGCACTCACTACATCGCGACTCAGTTTCTGCTCGTTGCCTTGTCTAGGATTTCGATGCCGTGTTCGTTTAGCTCGTCATATCTTGCCAGTGCTCTTGCCACGTGATCACAAAATTCAATAAATCAGTCTTCACCTCACACAGATGAGCGTGAACAAGTTTTCTACCCCCCCCCCTCCCCTCCCTACACACACACACACACACACTCACCCGTCTTCCTGAAACGCCAGAGGAAAAGGCCCCCGTAAAAAATATACTGGGTTGAACAAATCTAGTTGTTTAAACATAACCGACACTTGATGACAGAGGTTTTGCCGGGTGAAGACGCGAGGAGTGTTTTTTCGGGGTTGTTTTTTCCCCACAAATTCGGTGTCGGACAAAAATTGGGTGTTCGTCGGTGACCCTGTTGAAGAAAATAGGACACGGACATGGGACCCGTCAACCTCCAGGCAACATGCGCGCGGTCCGAACGGAGTCGTTCCGGCTCCGGGTCCCCAATGGAACATGACCACTCCTCCGGGACCGGCGGATGCCTTCCCGTCATTCACTTTCCCGCGGTCCCGGATCTCGAAGCACATGTTTTCGCAATCGCGGCGCTAACAACATGTGTTCGACGCACGACTGAAGTTAAACATGATGTAAAATATGCGTGTCGGTAAGCAATGTGCATTAGCATAGCCCACTTGCCTCTTCATCGGAATACTCGTGAATGGTGTCCAAGTACGTCTCAATTTTCGGCCTCTTTTGCGGAGGTCCGAAAAGGCGGTCCGATACATGCGGGACATACAAGCAATCCTCGTCGTCGCTGCTACTCGAGCTGTTGCTGCCGCTCGAGCGACTTGACGACGAACTGTCATCAAGCAGCAGCAGCAGTAAAGCGGGCGACACTTTGCGAGCGGCTATCACGAATTCTTCCGAGGCGAGTTGCTCGGCGAGAAAGCAAGTCATGTGTGCGTGCCGAGGGATGGACAAACTGGCTTCGGGTCGAATCCGCCCGAAAACGACGGAGCGACTTTTCTCGGAACTGGATCGAGATCTGGAGTGAGAGCTGACTAAACACGACGAGTGGAACACGTCCGTCTCGATTCCAATCGCCCTGTAAAATAGGCACGCTCCAGAAAAGTTGATCCCGGAGCGCTTTAAAACGCCCTGTGGAATTCGCCACAAGAGTTTTATGCGAGGGAGAAAGTAGAGGGGAGGTGGGGGGGGGGGGGGGGGGGGGGGGGGGGGCACGAAGGCATTCTATAGTCTCGCAGAGTGCATTCCTGGCGTCTTTTGTCTCCGATACTATTACGCACAATTTCTTAGGTGGGAAATATGTAGATGAAATCCTCTGCAAAAGTCATGCCTGCGAGGAATCGCCATTTCTTGGGTTGATCTTGAACAGTAATGTCGTACAGTTTGGCGCAAAGACGTTAACCCGATTCTTTTTGTTTCTTCTTCTTTCCGGTGCTGAACGCAGACTTTCCGGGCATGTGCTACGATGTGAGCAGCTGCTCGGCGAGGGCGGTCAACGAGAGCTGGGCAATCGGGTCCTGCAGCAGAGCAGCCTGCGAAGTGGACGAATCGGGCATACTCCTCGAAGTCCATTACACGTACGTACAGGGCAGCCTCACTGGTGGAGAAGGGGCCCACTCACAGCCGGATTCAGCAACCAACAGCACTCTGGATTTGTCCAGTTGGTCGAATCTGGCCCACTGACCGGAATCGGGCTTTTAAACTTAATCCACAAGTTGTTTTTCTTTTCTTTTTTTTTTTCGAATGCGCGATTAGATTTGGCTTGCTGGCCATACCTGGACCATTGGCCGGATCTGGTTTATCGGCCGCATCTGGTTGGTCAGATAGAACCGGATCCCTTCAGATCCGGCCCGGATACGGATCCTGATCCTCGAGATACGTCTCGTGGGCTAGACTAAAGAAGGGGGAGTCTGTGTAAGCTCTTCGTTGAACAAAAAATTCGAGAGTACCGATTGAAGTGCAACAGTAGAGAGAAGGTCGTTAACACTTGCTCCCCTCCCCGTATAGGGGACAATATCAGGAATGTATATCGCCCCTTTTATGATTTCCTTTTGTATTTGGTAGAATCCACCTGTCAAAAGCTCTGCCTCCCACTTTAGCAACCCCGACCCAACAAACCTGTCCTGTCTCTCCGATCTTGCGCTATTAAAAGCGAGCGCGCGGTGGACAAACAACGTTGATCTTGTTGTTTGAAGGCGAACGCTTTCTCAGCCAGATATTCCTAGGTCGACATGCAGTGCCCGGACCACTTTCTTCTTCGGAGTCTATCTGGGTTAACGCTTTCGCCGCTCCCTTGAAAGGCAGCCGTGCGCTACTTGCTTAAATAGCTGTTAAAAAACAAAAAATAAAAACATCAGAGCTTCCCGTACTCTTTGTTATTTGAGTGTCGCGGGAGAGAGTGAAAGATAAAAACAGAGAAATATTTTATTCACTTAAATTCACCTAAAAAGCTACAAAAAAAGGGTCCGGTCTCTCGCGGGACGTTATTAATTCCCCCGCCATGTGTTAAGATATATGTGGGTGCAACTTTGATTAGCTTAATTTTATTTTATCAAGACGTACACGACTGAAACGCTAAAATCATAATTCTTTTCTTCGACAACCAAATTTTGTAAGAAGTCCTGCGCGCAACGCGTTAATAATGCGCAAAAAAAGGGAAAACATATTTATGTGACGAGTATAGACATCAAGGCCATGGTGCTCGATTTTCGACGTCACTTGCCCGAGTCAAGCACTGGCTGATTAGACGCGAGTGCGACGTCACCGTTCGGCTAGGGCTCGCGCCCAATCAGTGAGAACACGAGACCCAGCCGAACGCTGACGCGGCACTCGTGTCCGGTCTGTGACCCATGCTGGCTTTCCGATGGATGACGTAGAAAATCCAGCTTCTACGGCCTTGTTAGGGTGCTGAAAGAGTGCCAAAGTAGAAAGGAGAAGTGAATGTCCTATCCCGTTCCGTGAATGATATTGCGTTGACACTGATTTGGCTCACGTCTCGTCTTGCGCCGAACTATACTCATTGTCACGTAAAGAAAAAACGAAATGACGTTTAGCGCATTATTTATGCGCCAAGATTTGGTCGTATAACGATCACCGAAAGACCCCTTTTCAAAACTTCGTCGGGCAACATTGGCGGCCGCCAAGGCTAGGTGGCGCAGGTTACCGCCCGTTACAAAGGGTGTATACCATCAGCATCCATCCATCCATCCATCCATCCATTCATTCATCCATTGGGCACAGAGCTTGTTATTGGACCCGAGTTCTCGTCGAACTCTGACGCAGTCCTCGTGTCTAATACAATGCAGTACACGCGCCCAAAGAATGGCAGACACGGATGACTGAAACAGCTGGTGCGAGATGGCTGATACTTTTGAAAGCGGTCTATTGCGCTCGCTCTGCACCAAACACTAAAATGCGGCGCCCTCGAGAACATCAGGGGATGCAGTGGCAATCAGGGTAAGAAAAATATCGGGATTTTTTTTTTTAATTAAGTAAATTGAATCTTTTTTACTTAAGTGGGATTAATTTGATTTAAATCACTATAGCTAGATAAAGTTATTCTCTATCACTACTATTTGTATTTTTAAACATGAAAGACTGATTGATACATACGCTCGACTACTGTACATTTAAACTCTTTTTAAAAGTACAGTTCAATTAACAACCTCTTGTCGATGTAAACTCGCCATACTAGAACAAAAACAGCTTATTTTTAGTTCGTGAAAAAGCTGTATTTGCTTCTCTTTTTTTGTGTGTTCTGATTTGCTTGCTGTAGGACATTACGTAACCGGCAACGTGGAGCACAGACAAATCTCAGCACTAATGATTTGCCCAGAAGAATTGTTAGTATCTAACCTGATATACATACTTTTGTCTAATGATTCTTTGATTTAAATACAAAACAAATGCACATACAAGCCGTCAAATGATAGACAAAAAGTAAATAGAAAGTATTTGGGGAGTACTTCTGCGGGAAAGGTTTAATTGATATCATCATAGTAAAACCGACGTGATTCCAATCACGATTTATATCATTTCCATTTATATTCACCACCCTGGTGGAAAAACGCTCGCGCAGCTTATTTTGGGGTTCTAGCCCTTGTACTATACACATCGACTGCCGAGACTATTTATCACGTTGCTGTTTGTTTGTTTACTTTTGTTGTCGTTGTCACGTTAGTGCGTGTGAGATCGCCACACGAACCAAGGTGACTGTCATCGACGATCTCCGTGCTCCGGTCTTCGAGGAGGCAGACAGCTGCGATTTCACGGCCCGCGCGGTGTCTAACAAGGAAGTGGGCATCGTCGAAACTTTTGACACCTGGTCGACCTTGGAGAAAACGACGGCGACGGCTCCTGACAAGGTGCTCGGAATGCCAGGGGCCTGGCCTGGCAGTTTAGCCATCCGCCAAATAGCGTTCGAAAAAAAAAAGTAGCGCAGGGTTGCGAAAGAGGGCCGCGTGAATGCCGACGACCAGAAAGTGTTTTGCTCCCACTCGAGAGATATTCCGGTATTGTCGAAACGTATACCGAGCGGGCCTCACGCTCGCTATATCGGAGTCGAGAAGGACGTTAGGATCGAGTTCGCTTCCTACATACGCACGCTTCGAAAGCACTCTGCAGACAGCTTTTGTATGACCAAGGCTAGGTGGCGCAAGTTACCGCCCGTTACAAAGGTTATAACCATTAACATCCATCGGTCCGTGACGGGACGACCGTCGTACAAGGAGGACTATCCCGGCAGCAAAATCGCCTGTGCATAAAGAAGCAAACCGTGTAACATGAACCAAGTGCGTACTCCACCGTTCCCGAGAGTGGCTTAAACCTAAAACAAAAGCTATCGTATACATATATCTACCCTCAACCCCCCCCCCCCTTCCGCCCCCCCCCCCCCCCCCCAAAAAAAAAACCACAAAAAACAAGTTACTCGAATTCGCCGAATTGGAAATAATTAGTGCGATGTGTTTCGAACGGTATACTTAAAATGCTGTATTACTACCCAAAACTTATGTCGATATACGACACCAAGAAAGCGACTGAACGAAGTCGTACGAGCGACAAAATATCGTTATTATTTGTTCTGCATGGGTTTCTTCGCGGCGGGAAAAAAAAATGTAGGTTATCGAGGGTTGTTCGGCGACTCCTTTGCAAACGTGTGTCGACTGCGAATCCTAGCCAAAGCCTATTCGTAAATCGAAACAAGTGTAGCGATGTAGGCTGCAAGGGTGCGAGGGTGCGAGATAGGGCAAAGTGTGATAATTCTTCTCCCGCCGTGCTTGTTGCTAGCTCGTTCTAAGTACTGTTCCCACACTGTCGTGTTGATTCCGAACCCTCGGAGGAGCTATCCGAGGTGCGATTCTTTGCGCATCTTCGAAGCCGCGTTCCTTTCCCACTGCTAATATCTAACACGTCATACAAAGGACAGTATGAAGACGGTGTCTGCGGCCTGCTTCATCCTCGCTTGTGTGGCGGTCCTGTCACCTTGGCCGTACGAAAACTGTCTGCACCAAGACATGTTCCAAGCACGAGGAGACATGCTTCCAAGATGCCCGAGGAGTTTCCGCAGATAACTCTGTCATAATGTCCGCGGAGAAACTCCGTGCCTCTCTTGTATGATTTATGAGAAGTGTGACAGCAGCTGTAGCCCAGGAGGTGCAATCCTTTGCGTATCTTTAAAGCCCCTTTATGTGGTTAGGTCATGTATTCCTAAATGCATTTAAGATCGAGCATTTGTTATTTTATCAAAACGTACACGGTTCCAAAAGCAAACAGAAAAAACTTTCAGCCTTTTCACTTTGGTGAAGAAGGAAGACCAGCGGAGCTGTACAATGGAAAGTAATGGCCTGGCGCAAGTCGGCAAGCCAGAGTGGGAAGTCTGCCGCCATCTGTGAGCGACGGCGGCAACCAGATACGTGGCTTGCCGCCGTCGCTCGTAGATGGCGGTAGGTGTCCAGAGTTCGGTGTCTTCATTTCTTTGCGGGGGCACGATCATGAGGAAACTAGTCCGCTGTAAAAACATCGTTTTTGTGTGTGTGTGTGTTTTGTTTGTTTGTTTTTTTTTTTTTTCCTCTGAGGTAAAATAATGTTAAACTACCACGCGTAAAACTTTTTACTTTATTTATTTTTTTTTTTTTTTGCGGTGAAAGGGGCATTTATATATGTCGAGGTTTCTGAGAATGCAGCGCGGACGCTGCATTCTCAACGTCATCTCATTCTTTTCATAAGGGGCACGAAAAAAGTCTAAATGCAACACTGGAACCAAAACCAGGGCATGCACAATCGGTGAACAACACACACACACAAAAAGAAGAGACGGGAAGACCGCACTAAAATGGGCGCATTATAAAACCTATGTTGCTACGCCCGTGCAGTTTAATTTTGGAGTATATCAAAATGCATAGAGGACACACGACATCGTAGGGCCAATTGTTATCTGCGTAACGTCATAATGAATTGCAACACGATATCGAGGTAACGAAGCACATATTTAGTTACATGATACGTCAGGTGAGGAGGAATTGCACCGAGTTACATATTTATTTAACCGTAAGTGTCTGCGGCGGAAACAACTGTAAAA